TTCAGTATAATTGTTTTTTCTTCTCTGCAATAGAAATGATAGAAGAAAAAATTAACTTCTGATCAATTTCAATATACAACCTTGGATTTTTTTTTAAATGGCTTTCTTTTTTTCATGGCCCACAAATTTCCCACATTCCCCACTCTGTAGCGCTGGATGCTATTGGGTTGGGATGCTATTGATTGATTTATTTATGTATGTGTGATCTTTTTTGAAACATATTAACGTCTGCTACGGTAACATTTTCAAGGTTTAGTGAGCACTATTGAAATTAATTAGTCAATAATCAAGCATTATCAAATAGTCGCAAAAATAGATTAATGAGATTTTAGTATGTGTAATAGAATTTTGTTGTTAATTAATAATTACTAGCTGACCCGGGGGCAAACCTTATCACCTTGCTTTGTACTAAAGAAAAAATAAGTAGCATTTTATAATAAGTGGGATTTCCCTGGTTAGAATGCTTCTTTGGTGCATAAAGTTGCCATACGGCAATTTTAAAGAACTAGTAAAACTAATGACGACGCTACATAAAAAATATTGCCAAAATATCTATTTTTTAATTTTTGTAGACATTTAAAATACTTATACTGAAGTGTACGAATAGTTTTTTTTCTGGCAAGTGTACATGTTTATTCCTCTCCTCCTCTTGAGAGTGAATGGTCCCCATTTCATCTTCCACGTTATTGAACAATGAGTCCCCATCACTTAAAGAACTAAAAACATATACTTCTCCATTTTCATCGATTCTACTTAGGAAATCGGCAACAACATTATCCTTCCCTGGCTTGTGACAGAACTTTCGTTCCATAAGCCGAGCTTTAATAAGATTTCCAGGCGCGTCGGTCTTTTGCGCAGTTTTTTTTCAATTTGAAAGACCATATCGGCAATGTTATCTTCCACTTGATCTTTCCATATTATTCGTGGCCTTCCCCTTCTGCGTGAACCATCAACTTAGACGCTGCAGCTCAATACGTCTAACAATGTCGATGTCCGAGAATAGCTGGCACATCGGCCCATAGATCTTTCGGTAAAAATTTTCTCTCAAACACTCCAAGAGCTGCCTCATCTGCTTGCGAAAGTACCCATGCTTCAGATCCATATAACAGCACGGGTAGCATCAGCGTCTCGTAGGGTGTGAGTTTGGTCTGGCGGGAGGTGGGCTTGCTTTTGAGTTGTTTGCTCAGACCATAGTAGCATATGTTGGCCATCACTATCCTTCTCCTAATGTCATCCCTTTTGTTTATAGCGGTACCAAATTATATAAAATCTTTGACTACCTCGAAACTGTAGTTGTTAAGTTCCTCAGTTGGTCCGAGTCTACTGGACGTCTTGCGCGTTGATACCATCAGCTTGGTCTTCTCGCCGTTTACTGGCAGACCCACTTTGACAGACTCCTTCTCAATTTGTTCAAAGGTGGCTGTTACCGCTCTCAGTGTTCGACCCATTATGTCGATGTCATCGGCGTAGGCGAGTAACATGTGTTGTTTGGTATACAGAGAGCCATTTCTGTTCACATTTGCCTCTCGTATGACCTTTTCCAGCAGGATGTTAAAAAGGTCACACGACAAACTGTCACTTTGTCTGAATCCTCGTTCGGTATTAAAGGGCTCCGAGAGGTCTTTTCCGACTTTAACTGCTGATCTTGTGCCTGTTAAAGTTATCCTGCATAGCCGTATTAATTTTGCAGGAATAGCAAACGCAGACATAGCCGAATGCGACTTTATAGTCGAAGAATAGGTGGAATGTGTCGATATGTTTTTCGTGGGGTTTTATTTCAGGGTTTGGCGCAGAGTGAAAATCTGGTCAATGGTTGATTTGCCAGGTCTGAAGCCGCATTGGTATGGTCCAATAATGTCATTGTCCATTGGCTTCAGTCGTTCACACAGTACGCTGGATAGCACTTTATATGCGATGGGAAGGAGACTTATTCCTCTATAGTTGGCACAAATCGTCTTGTCTCCTTTTTTGTGCACGGGACACAGGATGCTGAGGTTCCAATCATTGGGCATCCATTCTTCTAGCCAAATTGTACTAATCATCTGGTGCATTCTCCTTACCAGCATCTGACCACCAATCTTGAATAGTTCGGCTTTTAACCCAACGGCACCTGCTGCTTTATTATTCTTCAGCCGATTGATTGCTATACTTGTGGAAAATATCAATATGTCAGCCGATTGATTGCTATACTATATACCGTCATCTATTATTGGTTCTGGGGTATCCTCTTCACCGCTACTATTTCATACCAGAAGTTTTTCAAAATATATTATATTATATCGGCTTAACTTAATAATCCATCTATATAATCTGGGTTTTCTGCTTTGAGACTTTATAAACAAACAAAGGTTGGTGATCTGATAAAATTTCAAATTTTAATCCATATAAATATGGTTGATAATATGCCGTAGCCCAAACAATCGCTAGAAGCTCTTTTTCTGTTGCTGAATAATTTTTTTTCATGTTCGTTTAATGTTCTACTAGAAAATTAAATTGAATGACCATTTTGTTGCAACACTGCTCTTATAGCTTTTGAGCTAGCATCTGTTATAAGCTTAAGTACCGGAGCTTCTGTTATAATTAACTTAAGTTTTTCGAAAGCATTCCTAAAATTTAGATCGCAAATATTTTACTTAACAGTAAAGCTTAGACGTACAGGTTTTTACGGGGACCATCAAACATTTATTGAAACCTCATAATTTCAAATTTTGATCCATATAAATATGGTCGATAATATGCAGTAGCCCAAACAATCGCTAGAAGCTCTTTTTCTGCTGCTGAATAATGTTAATGTTCTACTAATAATTTTAACATCTTTCTTTAAATACCTAATAATCGGATATGCTACACGGGAATAGTTCCTTATTAATTTTGCGATAATATCCAGTCACTCCTAAAAAGGACTTAATTCCTTTAATAGTATGGCGAAGCTAAATATTTTGGATCGTCGCTACTTTCGCATTCGGATTCGGTTTGACGCCTTCAGATGTTAAAACGTGACCTAGGTATAACGATTTTTTAAAGAAAATTTTACATTTATTTATTTGAATTTTGAGGTCAGCTTTTCTAAATGTATTTAAACCCTTTTTAATGTTAGAAATATGTTCTTGCAGACTTGTGGAAAATATCAATATGTCATCTAAATAAACAAGACAAATTTTATTTACAAATTTTCGCTAAACTGCTTTGATGAACCTTTGAAAGGTGGCAGGAGCGTTTTTTTTTAAGCCAAATGTCATTCTAAGATATTAGTAGGGGGTAGAAAAAGCTGTTTTCGGAAGGGGTTGTAAAGCCAATCTTCTTCCTTGAGAAGTATCTGGTGAAACTCTTTAGCCAGTTCTATAGTGGTAAAATATTGGGCTCGTCCTAACATATCTAATATGTTTTCAATATTAGCGATAGGAAACTTATCTTCTACTGTGATTTCATTTAACTTTCGGCAATCTTCTACAATTCGCCATTTTCCCCCCGAATTTGTTTAGTTACAATCCATAAGGGACTGTTGTATGGTGAATTGCTTTCTTTTATGATGCCCTGTCTTAATTTTATTTATAAATTCTCGCAAAACTGCGTTGATGAACCTTTGAGAGGTGGCAGGGGAGTTTTTAAGCCAAATGGCATTCTAAGATATTCGTAGTGCTCATAAGGGGTGAAAAAACTGTTTTTGACCGATCTTCTTCCTTGAGAAGTATCTGGTGAAACCGTTTGGCGAGTTCTATAGTGGTAAAATATTGGGCTCGTCCTAACTTATCTAATATGTCTTCAGTATTAGGGATAGGAAACATATCTTCTACTGTGATATCAGTTAACTTTCGGTAATCTTTTACACTTCGTCATTTTTGTTCCCCCGAATGATAAATTTTTTAAGGTAAAAGCCATAAGGGACTGTTGTATGGTGAATTGCTTTCTTTTATGATGCCCTGTCTTAATTTTATTTATAAATTCTCACAAAACTGCGTTGATGAACCTTTGAAAGGTGGCAGGAGCGTTTTTCTAAACCAAATGGCATTCTAAGATATTCGTAGCGCTCATAAGGGCGAAAAAAGCTGTTTTGGACAGATCTTCTTCCATGAGAAGTATCTGGTGAAACCCTTTGGCTCATTCTATAGTGGTAAAATATTGGGCTCGTACTAACTTATCTAATATGTTTTTAATATTAGCGATAGGAAACATATCTTATACTGTGATTTCATTTAACTTTCGGCTGTGTTTGTTAAAATTTGACCCTCTGTAAATATTAAATCATTACAGTAGATATCAGATATAAGAAACTCAAAAAAAGCCGGAGATTTCTTTCTTATATGCGTTTTTTTCTTATATAGAATTATCGGATATAAGAAAGTACATGCTCGGTGTTCTTGATAATCTTTCTTATATGCGATTTTTTCTTATATGAGATGTACTTATATCCGATATCTACTGTATATGTTTCCAATAAACGTTCAAGTTGCAAAGACTCCTCCTTATTTAAACCATTATATAGTTGATCTAATATTTTACTTTCGATTTCTGTTATTTCTAATTGATGAATCTTGTGATCCTTCCTTCGAAAAGGCGACGTCTGTTACGATATATATGTAGAATATACCCAAAGTGGTGAAGGGTATCATATGGTCGGCCCAGTTCGGCTTTACTACTTTCTTTACTGGTTTACTTATGCGTCTTATTTTAAGCTTATCACCTAACACAAGTCTGTATTATAAATAAGGCTCTACGACGAAAGTATTTCATTTCAATTTCAAACAAAAATGGTTAAGCATTTGTTCGGAGCCCTAAGTTCTATCTGTCTAGCAGTTTTTATAACAGAAGCTATCGTCTACGACAAACGGATTAATGTGAAAGGTTTTGGTGCAATTTTTATTGAAAAACAACAAAAGGTAAAGGGGAATGGTTTTCCCAAAAAAAGCAAATATTCGAACTTCCGTCTAAATCCAATAATACCATATAATAACTTACAGTACAATTGGTTTGGGGCCAGGGATGAATGTGCAAGAAGGAATATGACATTAGTAGTCATCGATACAGCGAAAAAGAATGGAATTATTGGCAACGTATTACGTGAAAAATTTGGTAAGTAATTCATTTCCTAAATACTTTTTCAAGGTCCATATAGAGGCGTGGATTTTTTTTTTAATATTTTTCGATGTCCATAAGTAGACCAGTATTTTTAAAAATATTTCTTCGAAGTCAATTTTTCTATATTTAATCTATATTAAAAAAATAAATTTTGTTGTCCACAGAAAAAGGTCCCGATTTTTGGTTGGATGGCAACAATCTTGGACTGGAGGGTAAATTTAGATGGTCTTCAACTGGCAAGCCTTTTGAGTTCTTCAATTGGGCGGTTGGTCAACCGGACAAATATGAAATCAACGAACATTGTGTCCATTATCAAGAGGATTTTAAATGGAACGATGCAGAGTGCACAAGGAAAATGGGATTCATTTGCGAAGAAAATAGTTTTTGGCGCTATGCTCGACACGACATGGAAGCGAAGAAAATTGCCATCGATAAATTATTTGCGAAGCATTAGTTGTACGATTGTAATTAATCTAAAAATAAAAATGATTAGAAATTAATTAACTTATATATACTCTACTGCATGAGTTGATCCTGTTGGGATCTTAATAGGTATGCCATGACTTTGTAAATCGTAAGTAAAGAGGTATTTTAATCCGTGAAAAATATGAAATAACAAATTATAGATTCTCAGATTGGAAAATTCAGCTAAGATCCTTAGCATAACGATAATGGGGCGGTTCGTGAATGATTTTTATTTTTCAAAGAGTTTAAAACCGTAATTATAGCAACTTCGGTACGATATACATTCAAAAAGTTCTGTTCAATTTTTTTTACAATCTATAACCTCGTTATCATAAAATAATGTCATTAAACCCCACAATCCTCAAATACTATAAATAAAGAATAGTCCATCCGAAATTTCCTAAGTTCTTGGTCCGTTTCAGGATTTCTCATTGCCTCCGCTCTATGTTAAAAGAAATAAGCTTCTAACCACTCAATACTTTTTTTACCCACCAACACACTTACCTTTTTTACCACAAACCTTATTCTTCTCAGAAGTTGTTTATCCACAATCTTCAAAAACTACAGGAATACAAACATCTGATTGATTTTGGTGATTTTTGAAGTATTGCTATCAAATTTTTGCATATTTACTATATTTGCGTTCCTGAACTTTTCAAATTATTTTGTACACTGAGAGCGATTTTGAAGTGTTTCCCTTTTACTGCTGTAAAAGCATCATCTCAAAATAATTATCAATAAATTATTTGTTCTGTTATCAATAAATTATTTGTAGTTCGGTTGCGTCATTGGTTTTTCCTGTTCGAACAATGCGCTTTTTGCCTCTAATCGGTGTTTCAATCTAGCGTGACACATCTTCATTTGTTGACTTATCAGATTGTTATTAAATTTCTTCACTATTTTCCTCAATATGCAAATCTCTCGAATCTTCATGAGTCAAACTTATATCTACTAAATTCTTTTCTGCCATTTCTCCATAGAAATCAATCGATTAATCTTACGTCTCGACTTATATTACATGGCGTTTACTTAGAGACCACATTCGATAAGCTTTCGATGCTTCAGAATATTCAACTCTAATACATTCTTCTGAACGAGAATCGAATTTTCCATTTGACTTATCCTTAATTAACACATATCATCGTAGCCCGAAAGGTTTGATTGAAGGAGTCTTTCCTGTCCGAAATTTTATTGGCAACTCAACTTTAGTAGATGTAGAAGAACGTCGATTGCGTATGTAGCATGCAGTGTTGATTGCTTCCGCCTAAAATACATTTGGAACCCCTGCTTGCTTCATCATAATTTTAGACATTTTTTAAAGTGTTCTTTCTTTCTACTACCTCATTCTGTTTGCGGAGTGTGGGTGCAGTTAGCCACCTTTTAATGCTCATTTCTTCCAAATACTGATTAAATTCTATATTTATGTACTCGGTTCCATTGTCCGTTTTCTAAAATTTAATCTTCTTTCCAGTAAATAGTTCAGCTGATTTCTTATACTCCGTTAACACGTTAAATACAATCGATTTCTTTTGCAAAAAAATGTACCTCGCAATGTCTTGAATAATCGTCAATGAATGTGACAAATTTATTTTGCATTTGAATGGGAATTCACTCGCATCGGACCACATATGTCACTGTGAACCACCTCCGGCAGTTCCGTTGCTACTTATGTGTTCATAAATGTTTATGTGTCCTAAACATTTATGCCACATATCCACATCATTCAACTTCAGTCGAATTCGCTGATTGAACCGATTGTCGCAAAAAATATAGATTACCTCTACTATCCGCTTTACATGCAACTTTTATTCCATCCAAAATTCTAGCTTCATTTTTATCGAAAATTACCTTGTCGGTTAACTTACGGATACGGATAACAAATTTGTTCTCAAATTTTCGATATGCATAACGTCTCTCACAATAAAGCTTTGCTCCGTTGTGCATCCGGCCGTCCTTATTCGTATGTCCCCTATACCCGTAATGTTGCTTAACTCAACATTTGCTAGACATAAATTTTTGTCGATCTTCTTGTTTTGCTCAATAATTTCTTTATTCGCTGACATGTGTGACGAGCATCATCGAGTTTTTTGATGATGCTCGTCACACATTTACGTGATCTCGAGCAAAATCAACATCCTTCATGCGAGCTGGAGCAACTCATTTTAATAAAGTTGCCTTCCTGGCAGGACCCTTTGATCTCTTGGTGTTCTGTATTCGGATATTAACCCCAATTTTGAAGGCGTAATTGTTAACAGTAAATCAGCACATACCTTCTGGCCCATGATCCTCTATTTCGATGCAGCTTCACCTTCTGGACATCTTGTTGAACTATCCACATAAATCATTCTTGATCAAAATTGTTTAAAATTTCCTATAATTTTTTTCTAATCATATTGGATTGATTATAGCGTACCTTTTAAAGGGGGCAGTAAAGCTTGCTGGGCCGGTTTTCTACTGGGACCATAAAAAATTTTTGGAACCTCATTCAACACCACCAAAATCCTTCTCCTAACCTTGAAACGGATATCCGCCTTAACTCGTGCATAGATCGATGCATCATTCATGATGTCATTCACGATTTATGTTCGACGGACGAACTTAAAATAAAAAATTTCTGTATCGATCTAAATCTCCTTCATTATGTTAGGCAATACACCTTCTCTCATGACTTGGCTTCAAGCAAATTGAATTGAAATTGAGGAGTGCGGGTTTGCCGAAAACAAATTCCTTTTCTAATGGATCTTTTGACATCACATTCGACGCGCCTTTTTCGCGACCCTATACACTTTTATTGATCCTTAAAAAACATCAAGCTATGAAAAAGGATATCAAGACATGAACTATTTACATACAGACTTATCAATCTTCTTTTTTTATTGCCTGGCCCACAAATTCCCCTGCAACGTGGGATGTGTTAGGACGCTACTCAGTCACAATTCAAATAATGTATTTATGTATGTGCGATAATTTTCGAAACATATTAACGTCTGCTGTAACGTTTCCAACATTTGTTGAGCAATTAAAATCAATCATTTAAACAATAAACAAATATTATCAAATAAAACGTACAAATTGATTCAGATGTTAGTATGATTAATAGAAATTTATTTTTAATTAATAATTACTAGGTGACCCGGCTAACCTTATTTAAATTGCATCAACAATGGGTTGAAAAAAAAATAACACAATCATTGACGACATATTTAAGAAAATAACGTGAGATTTTATGTCCACTTTTTGCAATAATAGTATCAATAATATTTTTCACGTGATTGTAAACCTTAATTTACTGGTAACACATTATGTAACACAAGATTGTTACAATAGGGTCACATTTAATGCCGAATCAAGTACCAAAATAATTTTTAAAACCGAAATATAAAGTCATATATGTATGGGTGGAATTTATCCATTGGTAGAACTTATTCAAATAACAAAATTAATTCAGCTGAGCACGGCTAGGGCTTGAACATCGGTCCTCGGAGCAACACAAATGTTGTCAGACCACTTAACGTTCTGAACCATCAACACACTTCCAAAACGGTTGCGCAAAAACATGTGTAAACCATGAAAGCAATTGTAGATGTGTGGATTAATTATCCATCTCTAAAACAAAAATCTGCTTTGAAAAGGATTGTTCCTAGAATGGAGGCAAATGTCGAACTTTGACAAATTTGAATTTAATTCGCATATGCAAGTTTCGCATCAGGGCGGAATAAATAGAAGTTATCAACATACGACCTTTGTAAAGCCACATAGAAGGCTATGTTCTGATATTGCTCAACATAAGAACCGCCGGAAACTTCTAAATCGTGATGAAATGTTATTGTGTAATCGCATTTGGAATATCCTGACATTTTTGAGCGAATTGATTTGCAATTAGTAGGAAATAGTTGAATAAATTACCGCTAAAAGTTAAATATGTCCATACTTTTGTGTAGCCCCGGAGTGTCGCCCACACATCAGATGTCGAACAGATAATTGTTCAAAAAATATTACACATTTTTTTTACAAATTTGAAAATGAGATATATTTTCCAACAGCTTGAAAATAAGACAAAACGTCGAGTATCTGATGTAAATACTAATAATGCGATTCATGGCATAACTATACAAGGAAGGCAGTCTCATTTCAGAAATTGATAATGGCAACCCTTGTTAATTTCATATATCAATTTCAATAAAATGAAAAAAAGAAGAATGCATGTCCAATGATTGGAACCTCAGCATCGTGTGTCCCGTGCACAAAAAAGGTGACAAAACGAAATGTGCCAACTATAGAGGAAGAAGTCTCCTTCAAATCGCATATAAAGTGCTATCCAGCGTACTGTGTGAACGACTGAAGCCAATCGTCAATGAAATTATTGGACCATACCAATGTGGCTTCAGACCTGGCAAATCCACCATTGACAAGATTTTCACTCTGCACCAAATCCTGGAAAAAACCCACGAAAAACACATCGACACATTCCACCTATTCATCGACTATAAAGCCGCATTCGACAGGCCTATCCATTAAGAGGTGTTTAAAGCCATGTCTGCGTTTGGCATTCCTGCAAAATTAATTCGGCTATGCAGCATAACTTTAACAGGCACAACATCAGCAGTTAAAGTCGGAAAGGACCTCTCGGAGCCCATTAATACCGAACAAGGATTCAGACCAGGTGATAGTTTGTCGTGTGACCTTCCTGCTGGAAAAGGTCATACTAGAGGCAAAAGTAAACAGAAATGACACTCTGTACACCAAACAACACATGTTACTCGCCTACGCCGATGACATCGAACACTGAGAACTGTAACAGCCACCTTTGAACAAATTGAGAAGGAGTCTGCAAAGTGGGTCTGGCGAGAAGACGAAGCTGATGGTATCAACGCGCAAGACGTCCAGTAGATTCGGACAAACTGTGGAGGTAGTTAAACATTTTATATACATTGCTGCCGCCATAAATAAAACCAAAGAAGCTTGTCGATTTTGCAAATGATTATAAAAACAAGACAAATAAGTTCTGGGAAAAAGTTATTTTCTCGGACGAATCGAAATTTAACATATTTGGGTCGGATGAACGCTCTTTGGTGTGTCGGAATAAAAGGCGAAGAACTCAATCCAAAGAATACTCGGAAATCAGTAAAGCACGGAGGGGGTGGAGTAATGGTATGGGGATGCATGTCAGCAACTGGTGTTGGCAATTTGGTATTCATTGAGGAAATAATGAATAAAACAGTTTACATAAATATTTTCAAAAAAAATTTAATTCAAAGTGCTGAAAAAACTCAACATTCGTGATAATTATTACTTCCAAAAGGACAATGATCCAAAACACACTGCTATTGACGTTAAGAATTGGATCGTATACACATGCTGATAACACCTCCACAAAGCCCCGATTTAAATCCGATTAAGCACCTATGGTATCGGATAATCGAATCCGAAATCATAAAATTTCCAGTAAGGAACAACTCAAAGAAATACTTCTAACAGAATGGGGTAAAATATCGTGGGACTACACTAAAAACTTGTATACTCAATGCCCGAACAATTGAATGAATGCCCCAGATATAGTATGAGATATATGCCATGTGTTGTTTTAATAAGTTAAAAAAAATTGACTAACCGTTTTTGAGTACTTTTAGTCTCCTTATCCTCGGTCCATATTTTGGCATAGTCCAATTTTAGGTACTTTGAATTTCAAGGAGACTTATACCTTCTTTACGAGCATCTGCTCGTAAATATTTCAAAAAATTGCAGTATTGAACGAAAATGTATCAATTACGTTTTTGTTGTTTCAATACTGTTGTAGTTTTTACTTATTCGTCATATTTTAAGCTTATCACCTAACACAAGTCTGTATTATAAATACGGCTCTACGGCGAAAGTATTTCATTTCACTTTTAAAATTCAAACAAAAATGTTCAGGCTTTTTTTCACAGCTCTAAGTTCTATCTGCTTAGCAGTTTTTATAACTGAAGCCAGCGTCTACGACAAAAGGATTAAAGTGCCTAATTTTGGTGTAATTTTTATTGAAGAAGAACAAAAGGTAAAGGGGGATGGTTTTCTGAAAAAAAACCAACCAAATATTCAAAATTCCGTCTAAATCCAATAATACCATATAATTACTTTCAGTACAATTGGTTTGAGGCCTTGGATGAATGTGCAATAATGAATATGACACTAATAACCATCGATACACCGGAAAGGAATGAAATTATTGGCAAAGAATTACGTGCAAAATTTGGTATGTAATTAATTTTGCTATATTTAAACTATATTAAAAACTAAATCTTATTGTCCACAGCAAAATCTCCCAATTTCTGGTTGGGTGGCAACGATCTTGGAGTGGAGGGTAAATTTACCTGGTCTTCAACGGGCAAACGTTTTGAATTCTCAAATTGGTCGAATCATCAACCGGATAATTATAAAAGCTACGAACATTGTGTCCATTTTTATTGGAAAACGGATTTAGAATGGAACGATGCTCTGTGTGCAACAAAAATGGGGTTCATTTGCGAAGAAAATCGTTTTTTGCGCTCTGCTCGACACGACATGCAAGTGAAGAAAAATGTCATTGATGAATTATTTGCATTGTAGAATACGAAGCACATGCGAAGTATTAACATATATTATTTTTACGATTGTAATTAATCAAAAAAATATAAAATATCGGAAATAATGTTAGAAATAGATGCACTTTTATAAACCCTACTGCATGAGTTGATCCTGTTGGGATCTTTTTAAATATGCCATGACATTGTGAATCGTGTGTTAAGAGGTATTTTATTACGTGAAAAAGAAATATGAAATAATAAATTATAGATTCTCAGATTGGAAAATTCAGCTAAGATCTTCAGCAGAATGATAATGGGGGTTTAATATGCACCAGGAACATTGAAATCGAAATTACAGCAACTTCACTTTTACCCACTACATAGAATAAGGTTATTAAACCGCAATCCCCAAATACTGTAAAGAAAGAATACCCCATCCGGATTTTCCCAAGTTATTGCTGAATTGCAGGATTTCTCATTGCCCGGCTTTCTACGGAGACCATCAAGCATTTATTGGAACCTAGTTAACATATTCCATTTCGACTAAGGGATCTAGTCTTGGGAAATCTCGTTCAGTTCAGTGATCAAACGAACTAGATCATTTTTTAAAAGTGAACTAGGTCGTTCAACTTTTTCAGTTGCTTACATCGCATCGTTCAAATGGTTACTCAGTTCAATTGGCATGGTAGGGCATTCCAATTAAGTTCTGGCAGTTCAAGCAACCGTAAAGAATTATGACCTTTCGCAATCATTCGAAGGATTTTCCTATCTATTTTCTCCACTTTGTTAATGGGTGGTGGTCGATGGCAAAACTCCGTTATATTCGGCAGTAGACTTGTTTGCTCTGCAGTTGTTGCTCCGGACACCTTTGACTCTTTTGTGTGGTTTCCAGTTCCACGGTTGTCTACGGGGGTGCTTTGCTTTTTACTGACCCTCCAGCTACACGTGAAAACACTACTGCATCATTTGATCTTTTAAGCACCGCATTCCATGAAATCGGAAAACAATACATTACACGTACCTTTTCATTCCATTTAACAGATTTTATATGAAATTGTTCTTATTTGACGCCGTTCAGTTGGTCAAAATCACTGAGCCTGTGAACTACACTGAAGGTGTGGAAGAAAATACAATGTCGTTCAGTGACCGACGGCGTTCTTTGAGCAAAATCGTTCAGTGAGCAGCGTCGTTCAGAGACCGACTGCGTTTGGTAAGCAAAATCGTTCAGTGAACGGCAATAATAAAAACTGAACAATGTCGATCAGTGGACTGACTCGTTCAATTGATCCACTATTATTTCCCCCAACTCCATTTTATGGATTAAGGAGCCTTTAGACTATAACATTTATCGTGAGAAAGTTCATTATCGTTTACTTTTAAAATGTCCATACATACATGACTTCTATTTTTAGAATATAAAATATATTTATTTGCACAGTCTTATCTACGTCCTTCTGCTATTTTGTACTGAAGTTCTTTGTTATTTTCATTCAAATCGAATGTTCTTCAGCTGGTTTAACGCACAAAGAAAAATTGCGATATCACAAAGATAACACAAATTCTAAAATAAAAAAAAATATATTGGTCAAATATTCAGTTCAATTTTTAAACATTTTTTTTCTATTTAAAAGTCCAACATTCGTTGAAAAATTAGCTCAGTTTTCTTTGTAAATTGATTGTAAACAGAATGAAAATCGCTACTGTAATCGTTTTTACTTTCTGCACGATGGCAGGACTCCTGTCTCCAGCTAATGCCGATCTAACGCTGCAACGTGGAATTCAGGGCGGTGAATTTTATATTGAAATTAATCAGAAGGTAGGATTTCATTTCGAGTGTACAGCTCGGATTTAAGTGTCTGTTCTGTAGGTCATATGTCGGCGATAATCTCACTTCCCACTTCTCTTCCCCATTTATCTTCTCTTTCTTTAGTACAATTGGTTTCAAGCATCCCACGAATGTGCCCGCAAAGGCTTGAGACTCGTTGAAATACCAGACGCCGTCAAGAATGCCGAATTAATCAGTGCACTGAGGACATATATTGGTATGTAAAACGAGACTTGGTCACACCATTTTCGAATTAAATTTTTTTCATTTTCACACTATTTCAATTCAGGAAATGCCAAAGATTTTTGGATAGGAGCAAATGATGAATATAATACAGCCAACGATTTGCAACGTCCTTTCTATTGGTCGTCGTCGGGCGAGCGTGTAACATTTTCAAATTGGGCGATAAATCAACCGGACAATTTGGAAAACAATGAACACTGTGTACAGTTATGGTCAATAGCAGTAAATTTCGAATGGAACGATATTGCTTGTACTAACGAAATGGGTTTTATATGTGAAAAATCGAATTAAATGTTCATAGGCATTAATATGGCGAATTTGTGTAATAATATTTAATAAAATTAATTCATATTTGCGCACACTAAAACTTCGTTATTTTTTCGGCTTCCCGAAAAACTTGAGAGGTGATGGATTGTCTGACACTATGGTTGAAATAGCGATCTATGTAAGGATAGGGAGTTGACTGAAGCAACTTTTGTAAAGATGATCTTATTATTCAGATTAGGGATACGTCGAGCGCAAAGGTCGACTTTTAGACATTTCGATTTTTGGCTTTGACTATACAGTCGTCTTTTCGATTTATTGATTTTCGACATTTAATTTTTTTAAATTAATTGTTGTTTTAGAATGTGTAATTTTTGAGCAATTTGGGCTGTGAGATAATAAATCAAGTTTTTATAAAGAAGATTTCCTTAAAGATCAAAAGCCGACTTCGACTTTCAGACTTTTCAATACAAAAAGTCGATTGGTCGATTTACTTATCCCTACTTCAGATCATTCAGGAACCACATCAAATACATCAGCCCTGTAATCGTTGTGGATATTAGTGAAACATACCCTCCATGGCACAATAAAAAGGTAGTTCATTTAGCGCAGCTGATGACTCGATTAACTGTCAAAGTGCGTAATTTCTACTTGAATTCGATGTGCAATTTTGCCAACCATGTGAAATATTATAAGGAAAGTTTTGACAGATGGTCGAGGCAAAAACAAAGGTTTTTGTTTTGATACATCACCTAATTATTGCATTATGATACCCTCTAAGAAAAACGGCACGAAAAGGAATCGCTGGCTCGTCTACAAAAGACTTCCTTCAGTTCGTCTATGAAAGACACCTTTCAAATCGTCCATGAAGGAGAAGTCGGTCTGGTGTACAGCTCTTCCAATTTGAAAGACAATCTTTTGAAATGTTGTCTTCTACTTGATCTTTCTATCGAATTCTGGCCTTAACCTTCTGCGTGGACCATCTATTGGCTCACTTTTATATGCCTTTTAAGCTGCGACATCCTCATCCATTCTCACAACATGACCTAGACACCTTTGTCGCTGCAGCTTTATACGTCTGACTATGTCGATGTCTGCGCATAGATGGTACAACTCATGGTTCATTCGACGGCGATATTCACTGTCAATGCAGATCGGACGTCTTGCGCGTTGATACCATCAGCTTGGTCTTCCCGCCGTTTGCTGTCAGACCCAATTTGGAAGACTCCCTCTCAACTCGTTCAAAGGTGACTATTACCGCTCGCAATGTTCGACCCATTAACATGTGTTGTTTGTTGTACATAGTGTAATTTCTGTTCACATTTACATCTCATATGACATCTTCTAGCAGGATGTTAAAAAGATCACACGACAAAATGTCACTTTGTCTGAATCCTCGTTCGGTATTGAAGGGCTCCAAAAAGCTCTTTCCGACATTAACTGCTGACCTTGTGGCTGTTAATGTTATCTTGCGGCTATACGACTACATTAATTTTGCAGGAATGCCGAACACAGACATGGCTGGTATGTAATCATTCTTCTGCTGATTTAGAAATCTGTTATTTTTAAAATTTTCCACTCCAAGTCCAACATTGCGTGAATAATTGCAACATATCCTGAATTGTTTTTGTATACAACAGAAAACAATTCGATATTGTTTGTTTGTTTTTTTTATCAAGATAAGAAAAAAATATTTGATTTAATTTTACCGTAGGAGGCAAATGCCTTTAAAAGGCAAATGACCGTCATAAAATTATGTCAGTTGTCTGGGTGAATCGATCCTAAACAGAATGAAAATCACAACTATAATCGTCCTGACATTTTGCATAATGGCAGTAACTTTGCCATCAGCTGAGGCTGATCCAAGGCTGCAACGAGGATTGCAAGGTAGTGAATTTTACATCGAAGTAGATCAGAAGGTAGGTTTTGATTTCAAGCTGTTTATCCGTGAGATATTTCATGTTGGTGATCCAACCCGGAATATAATTTTTTTCCTAGGGGTATACTAATTTTCTCAACTCTCTCCCCCGCTTTCTTTAGTACAATTGGTTTCAAGCATCCTACGAATGTGTTCGTAAAGGTTTGAGACTTCTTGAAATACCAGATAATGTTAAGAATGCCAAAGTGCTGAGTGTACTAAGAATCTATGCTGGTATGTAGAGCCTTGGTTCGACTATATTTGAATAAAATAACATTTGACAATATTTTTTTTTAATTTAGGAAATGCCAATAATTTTTGGTTAGGAGCTATTGATGAATATAATACAGCTAAAGATTTTCGACGTCCTTTCTATTGGTCTTCGTCTGGTGAGCGTGTAACATTTATAAATTGGGCGAAAGGTGAACCGAACAATCTTCACAACAATGAACACTGTGTAGAGTTATGGGCAAGAACAAAAAAAACTAGAATGGAACGATATTTCTTGTACTAAGAAAATGGGATTTATATGTGAAAAATTAAATTAAATGTTCATAAGCATTAATATGACCAATTTTTTTCAAACTTATTAATTATATTTAATAAAATAAATTCCTGGTGAAGTTAACAACTTCGTTATTTTTTCGACATCTTGAAAAAATGTGATGATTATTTTAAATTTAAATAAATAATTTAGTTTATTAATGTGAAAATGATCCAACACCTCCCACGGTAATAGAAAAACTGCAACATTGGAACCTTTTAGTACGTTTACATCTAACCGGAATTCGTT